ATTACATACTATCACGTATTAAAGTTTGGTGCCAATCCAACGGTCGGATCGTCCATTTATATAATAACCAAGTAGCAGCCAACTAGGTGGTCCACTACGAAACTATATTAAAACATCAGGATTTCACTAAATGGATGTCAATTATGGAATCGGAGCATCAAATTAGCCTAGAATAGTCATGTGGGGTCTTGGCCCACGCACCGTCGGAAAAATCAACTATTTCCAAAAATTACCAAATAATGAGTAGAGCAAATTTTATACCTGTGGCCAAGTCCAATTTGGCCAGGAAAAGCTCCAATTTCCCTTGAACTCGCCGAAAACCCTAGAATGGGTGAGCTTCGATTCTTCTTCCTTGGTGTTTCGATACCCCTACAACTGGTTAGGTTTTGTTCTTGGTTCCAAATGGAGTTGATTAAGGGTCGTGATGGATGGTGCAACTCACTGGATCGATGGATCGCCGCCAAGAAACCGTCGATGTCACCGTCACTAAACGCCACGAAATTGGCCTAATTTCCGTCGAATCTTAGGTGAAAAATGAAGGAGAAGAAGTATGGTGGTGATTGCAAGTGATGGTTGGGTGAATTTCGCCTGAAAAATGGTGGAAATTGGCTGAAATCAAACCGGGTCACAGTTGGAAATGGGTTGGGTCCGGTTTGGGTGTTCCTCACCTCTCTCCTTTATCTCCTTTCTTTTCCTTCTGATTGTCTTACCACTCCCTCCTTTATTTCTGATTGGGCAGCCCCCAATCCCTCATTTCTCTTTTTTTTTCTTTTTTCTTTTTTCCTTTCAATTCCAGCCATCTATCCTTTTCTTTTCTCCATCACAGCCATGCATGTGTCACTTCCAAATTTTATGAAGCATTACAGATTATGGTCAAATGACCATTTCGCCCATAACTTCGTTCATTAATAGCTCCTTCATTATAGCTCCAAATTACGTTATGTTTATGCATACGTGTTCGTATCGTCGAGTACTTCAAGAATACGATACAATAGTAGCTTGTACACATCACGGAGAGACGGTCAATAAAAGTCAACAATCTCACCTCGAGGCATTTTCGTCAATTCACTCATTTAAAATTAATAAAATCGTAAAGTTAGGGACGGATTGTCACATTTATGGTTTACCGAGCAACAAATGTATATTTACTATAATATTTAAGCCGAAAACTAAAAAAATTAATGAAAAATATAGTAATGAGGCCCAAAACATTGTTAAAATGGGTTCCACCCTCAAGAATATCCATGGAAAGTCTTATATTAATTTTCAAAACTTTCGTGAAGCGAAGATGAAAATAAATAGTTTGAATGACGATTTATGTACGAATTTGCAATATCAACTAAAAATCGTGAGTAACACCCACGTTTTTTTATCATAAATGCAAATTTTTTATTTTTACAAAATATTTTCCGTGAGCATTAAAGAAAACTTTATAACACATTTGGAAGCAGTTTTATGATTTATTGAACAATAAAAGTCTATTTAGTAGAATATTTAAGCCGAAAACTAAAAAAAATAAGTGAAAAATATAGTAATGAGCCCCAAAATATTGTCAAACAGGGTTCTACCCTCAAGAATCCCAAGGGAAAGTGTTACCTTAAATTCCAAAACTTCACGAAGAGGCAAAAGTGAAATAAACAGATTAAATGATAATTTAAGTATGACTCGACGATGATCGGTAGCGTGGTACCGACCTTTTCCTATTCCAATTTATGTATTTATTTCTGCTTTTTTTTTCCTTTGAGCTTTTTCTTCATATGTTACTTTATTTGAGTAACCACTATTAAATTCAAATATCTTTAAAATTAGGTTTTAAATTGCTAATTATAAGTGTTTAAATATGAATTATAATAGATTTTGCATGGAGAAATATATTTTGAAGAACATGAGTATGATAGTTTATTGTTATGGTAAGAGAAATAAAAGAAACATTAGCATAAAAAAAAAAATTGAAAAGGAACGATCGGTATGAAGCTAGCAAATGGCACTGAAAGAAGTCGTTACCTCACTAGCAACAGTTCTTGTAGAAAATCGGTAGATAAATACCGATCGTATCTTTTTCTATTTTATTATTTATTTTATTCTTTTTTCTTTTTTCATTGAATTTTCTTTTCTTCCCTTATGTAGATTTGAATGCCTTTACATTTAGATTTATATTCTCATTTTTCGTGCGCCAAACTGCCTTGTTTTGTGTGTCTCGTTTTTGTGCCCCGAGCGACGTCAGTTTACACAATGGATCCTAACCCGTTTTGGGTTCCAAAAGATTGTCGCGTTTTCGATGAGTGGAGCCCACCTTGCTTTCTGTGCGTTATGGTAGCCTAAACACCCACGTTTTTTTGGAAAAAATGCAAATTTTATATTTTCATGAAGTATTTTCCGTGAGCATTAAGGAAAACTTTATAAGACAGTTGGAAGAGATTTTACGGTTTACCGAGTAATATATTTATATTTTAGTATAATATTTAAACCAAAAACTAAGATGTTAAGTAAAAAATATAGTAATGAGGCCCAAAACATTGTTAAAATGAGGTTCCAACCTCAAGACTATCAACGGAAAGTCTTATTTTAATTTTCAAAACTTCACGGTGAGGCAATGGTGAAAATAAATTGTTTGAATGACAATATATGTACAAATTTGCAAAACCGAATAAAAATCATGAGTGTTAACCCACATTTTTTTGGCAAAAATGCAAAATTGTTATTTTTTGCAAAATATTTCTGTGAGCATTAAGGAAAACTTTTATAACACATTTGAAAGGAGTTTAATGATCATTGAGCAATAATTGTTTATTTAGTAGGATATTTAAGTCAAAAACTAAAAAAAATAAGTGAAAAATATGTTAGTGTGGTCCAAAATATTGTCAAATGGGGTTCTACCCTTAAGAATCCTAACAAAAAGCCTTACCTTAATTTCCAAAACATCACGGTGAGGCGAAAGTGAAAATAAATAGATTAAACGATGATTTAAGTATGACTGAGCAAGGATCGGTAGCGTGGGACCGATATTTCCCTATTCTGATTTATTTATTTATTTTCTGTTTTTTTGTTTTTCCTTTGAGCTTTTTCTTCATACGTTACTTTATTTGAATAACCACTATTAAATTCAAATATATTTAAATTTAGATTTTAAATTGTTGATTATAAGTGTTTAAATATTAATTATAATAAATTTTGCATGGAAAAATATATTTTGAAAAATATAAGTATGATAATTTGTTGTTATGGTAAGAGAAATAGAAGAAACATTAGCAAAATGGTTTTAAAAAAACCTAAATAAACAAAAATTGAAAAAAATGGATCGGTAGGAAGCTAGTGATTGAAAGGAGAATAAGTCGCTATCTTACTAGGGATAGTTCTTGTGGAAAATCGGTATGTCACTACCGATCGTATCCTTTTCTATTTATTTTCTAATTTTTTTTTCCATTGAATTTTCTTGTCTTCCTATGTTACTTTACAAATGATATTTTTTTACACTAAAGGGCTGGAGAAGTGAGTTAAGCATCATAATGAGCTAGCAATAATGTGATGAGAGGTCTTAGGTTTGATTCTCGCTAAAGGCAAATTTAAACCATATTATTGCTAACTCATTGTGACTCTTAGCTCACTTCCTCACCCCTTAACGTAAAAAGTATATGTTCAAAAAAAAAAAAAAAAAAAAAAACTAACCACGAGCTGATGGCTCAGTGGTAAAGAACGAACTGCGAGGCTTCCTTTAACTAGTACAAAAAATATGTGGAGGTCTTAGGTTTGAAATCCGCTGCTAGTGTAAAAGCTAAACTTGTGCCAAATGGACGTTGAAATGCCTATGTGAATCTTTCCGACCCCTGAAAGGGATGGATAACCGTGACTTACAACTTGTTGTCTCCCTTTAAAAAAAAAAAGAAAAAGAAAAAAAAAACTTTTTTTCATGAAATGGTTAAATTTCTATACTTAGATACTCAAATTAAAAATTTGCATAGAGAGGCAGAATTAAAATTTTAATTAATATTAAAAAAAAAAACAACAACAAAAAATAAAGGGTTACATATTTAAAAAACAAACGGAGAGTAATTTTCGGTCCAAAGCATGAGTATTCATCAAATATAGTCAAAAATTAATTCTTAATTTCAAAAATGTCACTTTTTGTAAAAACTTTCAAATATATACAAAATTTTACTTAAATAGACACAAATACCCTCAAATTTAACAATTAAATAACTTAAAGGCTTTTTAGCTACTGTCGCCTTAAGCTCTGGTCCAACTTCACCTTCGCTTCTACACTCCACCATGACAACCCTATCCCCTTCAACCCCCTCATCACCGACATCGAGCGCCGTCGCGGTTACCGTAAGTGGGAGCAGCAAAATTTCAATCATGCATTCAACGCCTTTTTTCTTACTAATATCATTTTTAGTTTTAAATATAAAATAGTTTTTAAAGTTAATTCACATGTCGTCACACTAACAGAGCAATTGACAGATTTTTCACAAAAAAACTAAAATGATCACGATGGACAAATTCAAAGAAAGACTAAAATGATTCACGATAGACAAATTCAAGAACACTACTATTGATTAACATTAATTGTTAACGATCAGATTAAGGAGTTATGTCAATGTCACGAATCATTTTGGCTAAAAAGTCTTTAATTTATTTGATTGTTAAATTTAAGAGTATTTGTGTCTATTTAGATAAAATTCTGGATATATTTGAAAGATTTTATAAAACATGATATTTTTGAAATTAAGAATTAATTTTTTGCTATATTTGATAAATACAGCTCTCGAGTTCTGAGCAGAGTAGATAGATACTCTAAGAAGTCAGTGCAGAGCCCGTTTCTCCTTAAACCTCGTCTAAAACTAAAAGTCCTCCCCCTCCGCCCTTCCTCCCTTCCGCTCTTCAACGCTCCGCCGCTTCCTCCGCCTTCCCTCCTTCTCTCATTCTCTCTTTCTCCTCCGCGTCTAAAACCCCTTCTCAGGGTTTAGGGTTTTGCCCAAAACCACTGAGGTTTTTTGCTTCTGAGGTTTCCTTGGCTGATTAGGCTTTTCGTATTTCATATTATGCGAATTGAAATTCACCATAACGAAAGCAATGGTTGAGAAGACCAAGGAACCTAAGAAGGGCTCTATCACCGAAGAAGATACCGCCACTCTCTTGCAAAGGTACCTGTTTCCCCTCCCTCATCGATTTCAATATTTTGTATATTTGTGTGTGTATGTGTGTATTTGTGTATCTGGGTTTTTCGTATTTGCAATTTCTGCGTAATGGGTTTAATATGAGTTGGTTCTATTGGGAATTTCTGAGTATTGGGTTGATGTGTTTTTTCTTTTGGATGTTGGGGTTTTTGTGTTATTTGGTGATTTGGGTTCATTAATGTGGGGGTTTTTATTTTTGTATTGCTGATGGGCAGGTACGCGCCGACGACTGTACTGGCCCTGCTGCAAGAAGTGGCGAACTCGCCAGAGGGGAAGATTGATTGGAATCGGTTGGTGGCCAAGACTTCAACTGGAATTTCCAATGCCAGAGAGTATCAGATGCTTTGGCGCCATTTAGCGTATCGAGAAGCACTGCTTGACAAATTAGACAATGGGGCTCAACCTTTGGTTTGTTTCCCACCCTTTCCTCTTCATCCATAGAATATGGTGTTTGTTCTACTCTTTTACACAAATGTTGTATGTTGATAACAATGTAATGTATTAGGTTTTCATTTTTTGGTAAATGATGTGGTTTCTGGGATGGTGAGTATAATGGTATTCTAATGGTTGGATGTGTGTGAGAAGGAAAGAAAGTTAAAAAATTGACCCCATCTCTATAGTTACCATAACCAAATTGCTGTTAGCTTAGATGTACATTCTGCTTTCCAGAGCTGTTATTTGTGGACATGGTACGAAATGAAGAGGTAAGTTAGTCTCTAGCTCGCTCAATCTAAAGGTGGTTACAAGTAAATGGACTGATAATTTATTAAGAATATTTATTGTGACATCACTAATTTTTCCAGCCTGTTTGTTTGAAATTTGAATATGAATTATGTACATCATAGAAATCTTGCCATTAGTCCACTGGAATGAATTATAAAGAGTTCATTCGACCAAATAAAATAGAAAAAAAGGAACAAAGAAATCTAAAGTGCTGTTTTAAGTCACCAGTTTCCTGCATGGTAATTGTTTATATTTCCAAAGTGAATTTGAAAATTTATAATGAGCGTAGATGGGTAACTTTCATGGAAATGTATTCAAATTGTGTGAGCTAATTAACAAATTTCTTGCTGAGGTTAGATTGTGCTGCATTTTCTTGCAAGCTACTTGAGCCACGGTGAAGAATATTATCTGTTCCCCACTCATTATAACTGGCAGAAACAAGTGCATTTTCTTTTTCCATATTCTGAGTGATGTAATTTCTCTGGCAGGATGATGATAGTGATTTAGAATATGAAGTGGAAGCTCATCCTGCTGTTAGTGCTGAAGCTTCAACAGAAGCTGCGGCATGTGTGAAGGTATATAAATGATTGCGTACTTAATCAATGATTTGCTTCAAGGTTTATTACTTCTGACCATCCAGGTCAATCCTTGAATGGAGTGTAACTATTTCAAATACAGGCAACCTTTTCCTTTTTAGTTTTCATAGCAAATTAGCCCTGTTCTCAAATCCAAATTCTTTCTTTCACATTGTCCACCCAAATAGAGCCTTCTATTTCCCTGCTGAAGCCACTTTTCTGATTGCATGAACTTCCAAAATGCTGTTCTGGTTCTTTATAAATTCTCCTTGTATTGTTTCTAGTTCCAGTATTGTATAGGTATATTTCACCTGAGCTCTTAATATATAGATGAGAAAGCATGTTATCAACATCTAAAGGTTGTCCTGGAACATGGATACTACGTTAAGGTGGTTTTACACTTGTTTACCTTTTCCTTTTCCTAGTAGGAGTAGGAATATGCCTTAGATTCCTAAGTTCCATACAAATTAAATCAAAGGTCCACTTAAGCCTTAGATTCCTAAGTTCCAAACAAATTAAATCAAAGGTCCACTTAAAATGCCCAGCACTGCAATGAATATTAGGAACTTCGAAACAGGCTTCTTATTATGGCTCATGTCAAGCAATGAACTTGTTTAAAATATATAATACTGATATTGCGACCATTTACTATGGAATTATTTTTGGACCGACAAGGTTTTTTTTGAGATTGTAAAACTTTCTTTCATGTCTGGCTATATTGATGAATTTTGTCCGACCAAGCAACTGCTTTTGCATCATTGGGTCAAGGAATGTGCGCTCCGCCAATGGGCAAGTAGAATGGTAGAATGAGCACATAGTAACTCCAATGTCAGTTGACCATGCTGTGACCTGGGTATGTCCAGTTTCACACAAGTATATTGCTTTTGCAGTTTCTATGTGAAGCTGGCCTTATATCAGCTGTAAGTAGTTTAGAGTCTGCATAGATTTCAACAGAAATCCGGTGTGTCCCAACTTCTGGTCCATGCCAAGGAGCCAAGGAGAGAGAACGTGAAATATTATGTGGACTTTTCGATTGTCTAGGTATCTTATCATGGTTTACAAGTTGTTCTTGGTGTGCCTTTATAAGTGTAGGCTTTATTTTGTAAGAATCTGGTGATTGCTATTTTTTGTAGAATTTTGGTGGAGATGAAGTTTCATTTTTGGGCATCTCTAGGGGCTTTTATTGTTTCAGAGTTTAGGGTTAATTCTTCATTTGCAATTTTCTGGCATAATAAATTCTATCATCTGTTTATTATGAGTTTTGTTTCTTTGCGAGAACTCTGATGTTTTGAAGGTGGTTGGTGCTGTCTTAATCTCCACAGTTTTTGTACTACTTTTTTTCCCCTCTTTAATGAATTTGTCTCCTATAAAAAAATATGACAGTTTACATGTTGTGGGGCACATGTTTATAAATTTGAACAATTTCTCGATTATTTCTACCTTACTGATTTAAAGATCCATCTAGCTTATCTTGTTGAAATGGTTTATTTTCTTGGACAGGTTCTAATTTCATCAGGTTTATCAAGTGACTCAAGTCATCAAAATGGCTTAACTGTTGAGGGTTTGTTGTCCATGAATTTACCCAATCAGTCATCTAGATCTCAACAAAATTTACAACCAACATGTTCAATGCAAGGGAAGAACATTACAGTTCCGGTTTCTGTTTTGAAAAATTCCCTTCCTGTGACAACAACTACAGTGGAAACTGCTGAAGGAGATGATGCATTAGTAAATGGCATGGCTCCTCGAAAGAGAAGAAAGAAGTGGTCTGAGGCTGAGGATTTGGAGCTGATTGCTGCTGTGCAGAAATATGGTGAAGGAAATTGGGCAAATATCTTACGAGGAGATTTCAAAGGGGACAGAACACCTAGTCAGCTAGCTCAGGTTTTTTTTTCTCCTGTCACCACAAATGGTTCTCAATACTTACGTTTTGTTTTTGCATTTATTGTATGTCTTTTGACTCTTTTCATGTTTTGGTTCGTTAGTCTTTCCCATGTCTATTTGTAATTTGATGCATCTAAAGAGGCAACAAGAATTCCTCTCCAAAAAAAATACAAATGCACCATGTCATACAGGACAACATGAGCATGATGCTTATGATTATGGTTTGTTGATGGTTGAAATCACATAAATTTATTAGTAAACCTCCTGAAGTTTAGAGAAATGAACAACATAAACATGATGCTTATGTTATGGTTTACTGGGCACCAAATGACTTCCAAAAGTACTTGAAACTAACTGAGAAACGACTTTTTAAAATAGACTGAAGCATAAATGAAATCTAAGAAAGAAATGAGCTAACATAAAGAGATGTAGAGTTTAATGCCAATTACTCTAAATGACTTAAATTTATATTAAAAAAAAAAAAATTTAGAGTCTCTAAAACTGTTGACTTTTACCCGTTTATATTATTTTCCCAACTTGCCTTGTAGTCAAAGTGGGAGTGTTATCTGGTTTATGGGCTATTAATCACTCTGTCAATGCCCTTCGTATCCAAGGGGAATTAATTAATTGGCATTCTTATTTATTTGAGGTTCCTTTTCCGTACTTTTTTTTTTATGAAAAAAAAAAAATAAATCTCCAGAAGATGACCTAGAGTTCGAATTATCCCTTGGCTCTGGTCCTTTTATTTATTTTTTTAACTTTGGAAAAGAAAATCCCTTGGCTTTTGTCATTTAAAGTGATGTAAATGGACTTGAGTATTTGTAATTGGAAAGTTTTGTTAATATTGTGGAGTTCATAGTCTAGTTGTCATATTGTAGTGGAGTTGGAGACTGAAATAAGAACTGGATAAACATATCATCCTTTACTCGCACTTAATAGTCTGATTATGTTTTCTACATAAATGCATCATCCTTTATGTGATCATTAAAGTTTTGACATTGTGCCACTTCTTTGCTATACTTTGTACTTCATTTGTAGCTCGTGTCGATGTGCTATTGAAAACTCAGGTTGAAGCCATACATTATTTGACGATTTTTTGAATTAATTGAGTTAATTCATAAATTATTATCAGTAATTGATTTATGTATATTTTCAAGGTTAAGCTGAAGTGATCAAAACATAGACTAAAGATTCTTCTAAGGTGGAGTTACGTAGGTACCATATAGATGTAATTGCACATCTAGCAACTATGTGTAAATAATACTGATCAGGTTTCTGTTGTCATCTAGTTCGGTTAGATGTCTGGGTTTTACCCAGGTTTCCCGGGTTCAAATCCCGGCAACAGATTTTTAGTTTTACATATATGAATATATTATGTTAAATCTTGTGAATTATGCTTAGGTTGTGGGCAGTTCATTTCAAGTTATGCATGTGGTCCAACTATTTATGTTGGTTTTGATTGGAAGCATGAATGTGCACCAATGTTTTGTGGAGTTTTCGTAGTTTCTAAGTTTCAGGGCTATGTTGCTATATATCCTGTTTTTGCTTGTGATTTTGCGGACTTCTTGTCTGCTCTTGTATATGTATTCTTTCTTTGCAATAAAATTTTGTTTCTTCTTTAAATCTTAAAAAAAAAAAACATGTGCACTAATGCTTTTTTTTTCTACTAATTATTTGGGTTTATATTACAGAGGTGGAAAAATATTAGGAAGAACAATGTAGACTTGAATGTTGGAGGCAGCTCAAGTAAACTTTCAGAAGCACAGTTGGCAGCTCGTCATTCATTGTCCATAGCCCTGAATATGCCTAACATAACAGCTAATACAATTGGCACTGGTGATTTTCTCTCCCATCTTTACTGTTCTTAGATTACAGGAAAGTACATATAAATCTTATGTTGCTTCCAGAAATCCTGCATACTTTCAAGGGACCCTCGAATTCCATCTGAACTTCTTTTGTTCCCACTAGCAAGTCCTGTTAGAGTCAAGGGAAAAATGTATACATTTTATTTTTACCGCATGGTATACTACAGGCCTTTAGAAAGTCATATAATATTATAATACTTCATCGTCTTTCTTAATGCCAACAAAGACTATCTTTTTACTTTGGATTATGGATGTGCATAATCTGTTGAGCAGTTTCAATATTTTAGCTGCTGCATTATCTATTGATCACTGTTCTATTGTTGGGATTGTCTTCAACCCCCTTTTTCGAAGTCTTGGCTTTTCCGTGGATGCGTCATGCATTGCCTCTTTCATTAAGGGGTGATTTTTGGCATCTTATTTACTGAAACAATTGTGAACGTTTTGATTGGTTTCTTATCTCTATGATTTTAATTGACATTTTTGTGTAATTTATTCAGTAGGATGTCAATATATAACTAACAGTATTCATGTAAACAGCTGGGACAAGTACACACAGCAAGCTTGCTGGAACAAATGCAACTAGTAACTCTCTGCATTTTACTACTGCTGAAGCTAAACTGCAGTCCCAAAAAGGCCTTAACCCAGTGAAAGCTGAAGCAAAACCGCAGTCCCAGGAAGGCCTTAACCCAGCGAAAACATATCAAATGGGATTGTCAGGTTCCACGACAAAAGCTCCAGTGATCGCCAAAAAAACTATACCGAAGCTTACTGATAGTATGGTAAGAGCCGCTGCGGTTGCTGCTGGGGCACGCATTGCTTTTCCTTCGGATGCTGCATCACTTCTCAAGGCTGCTCAGGCAAAGAATGCTGTCCATATCATGCCTACAGTTGGTTCTTCTACCCAATCGGTTAAACCTGGTGGCATGTCTACCCACTCAGAACTTCCTCCTAATGTACATATACTGCGTAGCAGCTCGGTTGCTACGCCACTTTCGACCCCTTCATCCACTGCTGCCACACCTAGCACCACACGCCCTCGGTCTTCAAAAGTTCTTCCTCAGGCAAGTCAGCACACTCCAACTAAAGACGCAATGTTATCCAGACAGACCAATGGCGTTAGCTGTAACCTGGATGCTGAGCAGGTACAAGATGGAGCAGTTATCTCTAGGGATGGACCGAATGACCAAGGTCAAAAGGATAAAAGGGATTCACCTGACCAGAAAGCTGAGTCAAAAAATTTATCAACTAATGCTGAAAAACCTGTTGATACTCTGAAGATTGAAAGTGATGAGACCGATAGTGCTGTCACAGGTGTACAAGCTGAAGAGAGAAAAAGTGCAAAAGATAATGAGCTTCCGCATTCATCTGTTAATGTAGGAGCCAGTGACCCATCTGTAGTTGATGGTTGTGAAAACCGAAGCGCAAGTGAGAAGCAGACGGATCTTGCCATTGAAACAGATGGATGCAAGGGAAAACAGGTCGTAAGCAAAGAGGAGGGTGACATTAGGGTCTAGGGGGAGAAGAAGATTAGAGTATCTTGTAAAGCTTGTGATGTAAATTTAGACCTAATGAATGCTTTGGAACTATGGATGGATGGATGGTTTTTGTCAATGATGTAAGTTCGTGTCAATTTTGGATGGTGATGGTGTGTTCCTGTGTTGCATTACACTATTCAAGTTGAGCTCCATGTTGAATTGTGGAGTCACTCAATGTCGTTTTGGTTTTCGGGTAGTTTTAATGCAATCTGTTTTTCTCTCAACAGGTTTACATGAAACGACCTATTAAGCTAGCATGTGGGAAAATCGAAACTGGAACACAACCGCCCAATACCATGATACTGACACAAATCGCCACGATGCCTCCCGGTCAAACTTTGGGTAATGTTTCCTTTAGCCAGTACAACACTCCGATGGAACCCATTCCTGGCGTGAAGGTATTTTTCAAGAAGCCTAGAAGGCAAAAACAAAAGAGGAAACCTTGAAGAGAGAGGAATGTTGTCCACAAAAAGAGAAATTATACACATTTGTAATAATTTAAAACTAATTTAATCGGGAAACCTACAGATTACAGGCAACAAGAACCAAGAAAGATTAGGAAAGATTAGCGTCTCGGCAAGATATATATATATATATATATGAATTTAGAGAATTGAAGGCGCTACTTCGATCAATTTTAGTGAGACAGCTGCGAGTAATATCTGTTGAAAAAAGATATTAGCTTTGTTCTTCAAGTGATCCAACAGTTTGCTTGTCTTCTGTTTACATGTCAAGTAAATCACTTAGATGGTAATTTAGTTGAAGAAATTGAGTTATCTCCTAGACACAAACTTCCTAAGTCCAACGAGTTCGTCGCTACTCCTAATTCCGAAAAGCAAAGAAATCTCTTGACCGTTATGATGAAGACGATGAAGAATGTTGAGTTACTCTCCATATTTCCGCTTGGTTTTAAGGTGGAACCTTAACTTTCTCCGAGGAAGACAAAGAAGTCGAGCTTCCAACAATCTTCAAGCCCTCGTCCTGCCCATCCTCCCAAAAACGATGTAAGAACTGACGAAATATTCTTCACGTTTCAAACGAATTATTCGATCATGACGACCATCTCGCTGCCGAGTCTTTTGCTTTCGACCGTGACATAGACGTTAATCAAGGTCTCAAATTCTCTGTTTCAAATCAGCGGTAGCCAGAAATTAATTCCGAATCCCGACTCAACTGCGAGAAGAAGATGGATCGAAATTTAAATATATGCATTCACAATGGAAGAGATGAAACAAGTAAACAATAAAGGATAGCGGAATATGATTATTTAGGTCTTTAGAACCGATCATTCTTTGCCCTCCAAAAAAAGCAAAAGGGATAAATAACTTCCCAATACAATGTCAGAGCAGATTTGAGCGTAGAGACAGAACCTGTGTTATTTGAATTTGGTAACAAAACTTTCAACTTCCAAGGCGCAAAACATTGTTGCAACCAACAATGTGACAACGAAACGGGTGGAAAAAAAGAGAGGAAAATATCGACTAACCAAAATCTTTAGGAGAAACGACCAAACAAGTAGATCGCTGTAATATGAATTCAAGGAAGTATGAGGAAGCTCCCAAATTACTCTACATGCTAAATATCTAATCCGGCTTAGTACAACTTCGACTAAGCACTGTCACTCCTGTCGTTCCTGAATGCAGAGCACCTGTCACAGGAGCCAACGTGGAAATTAACAAGTTCAATGGGCATCTCCTTCTAGTTCCTGCACGACTTGCTTATGGAGACATGCCAAATCACGACGCAAGAACAGCTTCTTTATTTCCTTTTTTGCTCTGACCACTTTTATCCCCTCCCTTTATCATTCTGGAGAGGATATCTGCTTGTTTCGTGTTACCATCTTGATTTAGGCTCTTAATCAAATCCTTGGTGCTACTCCAGTCGGAGACCCCTCCTTTCTCCATTATTTTACACAATATTGAGTATGCATTAAGAGTTTTCCCTGCTTCTAAGAGAGCATCCAACACCTTGTCATAGCTTGAGAAATCCACATTGCAATCTCTCTCGAGGCAAAAATCTAACAGCTTGAGGGCTGCAATTGTTTTCCCTTTCTCAGCAAGAACAGATAATAGGCTATCAAACTGAGGCGTACACCCACTTTGCATAAGTAGATCGATTCGTCCCAGTGCTTCCTCAACATGACCTCTCATAAAGAGGGTTTCCAAAATCTTGGCAACCAAATCCATGTTCTCCTTCACCCCCTTCTCTACCATACTTTTCATTACTCGGCTTGCAGTTTGAACCCTCCCGTCTTGAAATAGACTCTCCATCACTGACCTGAACAGTGATGCCTCTGGAATATGCCCGCCTTCAAGCATACTGTCCAAAGCTGTTTTAGCATCAGCTGGTTCACCTTTACTCAAGTAGCTGTTAATGAGTAACCTGTAAGAATCTGCTTCTCCAGGGACCCCTCTCCTACCCATTATCCTTAAAATCTCAAAAGCAGAATCAGAATTTCCTTCTTTCGCATGTCCGCACATCAAATTATTGAAGGCAACTGAATCCTGAACACCCTTTTTCATCAACTGCCGGAAAAAAACTTCAGCTTTCTCAGTCTGCCCATGGTTACACAAATACTCAATCATTGGGTTATAAGCACTAGCCTCCAACTCGATAGAACTCTGGGGCCTCATAATAATTTCTTTCTCAATAAGCTTATCCAGCAGCTTGATTGCTCGATCATAAACCCCGGCCTTGCAAAAGTTCTCAATCAGGATACCATAATGACCAGGCTCGGTGGGAATGCTCAGCCGAATCATTGCCTTAAGGACATCAGCAGCTGCATCCAAATCCCCAGACTTGCACATCAATGATAGCAATTTCTCAAAGATTGAATTATCCTTGGGAGCAATATACCTCTGAACCATCTCCTTCAACATGTTCACAGCTTCATCCTTTTTCTCTGCCTCACAAAGCCCCGGCAATAGAGTCGAAAATGTGACAGCATTCGGTTTAATACCAAAAGACTTCATCTCTTGAAACAACCTCAATGCATCATCAACTTTCCCAACATCAACATACCCTTTAATCATGGTAGTATAGCATATCACATTAGGTTCTAAATTCCTCCCCTTCAACTCTACAAACAACTGCTCTGCCTCATCCATCATCTTAAACCGATTGTACCCATGAATCATAGTGTTATACGTAACAAGGTCTGGCAAAATTCCTCTATTTTTCATATCCTCGTAAAACCGCTTGGCGGTCTCTAACCTCTTGCTCAAAAAGAAACCCCAAATCATAACATTATAAGTATGCCTATTGGGCTCTATTCCCTCACTCAGCATTGCATTAAAATACCTCTTGGCCATCGTATACCGGCCACGGCGCATAATGGCCTTAAAGAGAGCCTCGTAGGACTTGAGACTTCTCTGCACACCCAATTCCTTCATACTATCAAACAATTTGACAGATTCTTGAATAATGCCAGCCTTACCGTATCCGGCCTTGCCGTAGCCATCAATGAGCGCAAGGAAGAGGTCCTCGTCGAGCTGCTCACCTTTTTTCGGCATGTCCAGAAGGATGCACCGGGCATGATTGAGCTTCAAATTCCGGCCCAGAACATCAATAATCTTCAAATGGGTCTCCCGGTCGTGCTTGAACAACCCGGACCGCTCGACCCACCTGAAGAATTGGAGGGCGTGCTCCCAGTTCCGAGTGCCGTGCAAGACGTTCCACACTAGGTTGTGGTCGAATTCGGGTACCAAGTTCCGGATCGAGTTCTGTAACCGGGTCGTCCAGGCCCGATTCGCCATCATTCTGCAGATTATGTCCTCTGTCTTCTCTGGGTTTCGAGGACGGTGCTGCTTAGGTTTTGGGACATGGGTTTGAGTTGGGGATGCGGCTTCGGTTGGTGCTGCGGCTTCAGTGGCGGCTACGCCTCTGGTTGCGGCAGCAGAGGCACCGGTGGCGGATTCCCCTGAGCTGAAGAGGCGGAGGTGCGCGAAGGCCTGAGAATTGGAGGGTCGAGGCCGCCATCGATGGGGTTTAGAGAGAGAAATGTACGCCATGGATTGCATAGCAGAGGGTAAGCGTGTGTGAAATGAGAGTTGGGGGGTCTGTGAGCGAGTGAGAGTTAGAGGCAATCACCGAGAAAGCGAGCACTCCGTAGTGCGTACTGGCTTGTTAGGGTTTAAGCATCACTCAAACAAATGTGGGCTTTACGTTTGGGATCTTGTCCAATTAGTCATGGATTTTTTTTTTTTCTTTTTATTGTTTGAATAAACTACATTTTATCTCCTCAAGTTTTGTCCAATTTCAAATCATACGTCTTTTAATCTTATCAATTTCTTACAAATGTCAACTGTTAAAAAACCTGTTAATTTAACCGTTAAATGATGATGAAACAAATATAAACATATTTTTGTTAGCGTGGCAGTTAGTTGTACCATGTAAATAAAAAATAAATATTTAATTATTTTAAAATGCCTGCTTATTTCCTTCATCTACCATCGCGTAGATTCCAGCTAGGTCTATGCTGAAGTTAGGCTAACCAGTCTCAGTCAAGACCACCATAGTGTTCTCGTATCATGCAACGACCATGGCGCTGATGACGGCGTCAACCATCATGTCGAAGAGGTTTTGGTATCGGACGCCCGTGGTGAGGTAATCTCAAAATCCAAATGGGTGCTTCTGAAACAGGGGAAACCCGATGGGGATCTCACTGCACATCGTGTAAAGGTTGTAAGGAAAGTCTCTAAGAAGTAGCCACATCGAGACGAGTGAGACCAGACACAGGGATTTGTGAGAGATAGTGAGGCCAAAAAAGGGGCCCACTTCCCCGTCTCATATGCTAGTCCGATTCATAAAGTTTTGAAAATGAAGTGTAGAAAGACGTAAGGAATTAAATCCACCAATACATTCATTAAGTTTAGAGTAATGCTACAATTACCATATTTTTCATCCTACATTGACAACAACCACCACAACCCTCTTTTTTCCAATTAATAACTCAAAAAATATTATTCGGAGAGATTGTTTGAGGCTTGTATGGAATCTTCTGGGGAGGTTTGAGAGATGCTTGTCACATATGCATGGCATGAACGAATAGGAAGCCAATCAGCTTGCGAAGTTGGCAGTGTTCGACAGTGAGAAGCTGACTATTCGTAGAAGTGAGCTAGTCGTTTGGCCATTAGGTTTTTCAGACAACCTTCGTAGCTTCATCAGGGAAAAATATATGTAGAGGTTGACACATAGAGTAGCACAAGCAGCCACATAGTTTAGTTTTCGCAGCCATCGTTAGGGAAGATGGCCTAGGCAAATGGAATAGCTATCGTCCGTAATTTACTATTCATAAATTGTAAGTATAATTTTGTTTTTTTTTTAAAAAAAAAAAAGTGTATGTACACTACCACGTTGTCAGTTATTTTGTTTTTTCCTTTTAGATGTCAACGTTTGTTATTCATTTTTTGTATCATTCAATGCATGTGGTATTCTCACAGAACCATGTAACACATAGACGAATTTCTAGGGTCCCTCAATGTGGGATACTAGGCAGCCACCTCATCTGGCACTCCTCAGGGCTAGCCCTGTATTATGTTGAAAAACGAACTGTTAACCCACTTTTACCATTTTTGTTACAAGTTTGGGGCTTTATAGTCTGAATTATCACGTGTACGTATGTATACAAACTGTTTGAGTAAATATTTCAATTTTTATGGAAGATTATGCAAATAAGAGAAGATTCTAAATAAGTATCATACAACAATATAAAAAATACAAATACAAAACTAACACAATGAACTTAATGGGTTCCTGTGTGCAACAATGTTTAAAGACATTAAAACTAAAAACATAAAAGTAGATCATAAAACATATCATCTACATAGGTTGTTCTGGAGGCGGCACAGCTGCTCCTAAATCACTGTGCTGTTTCTGTAATGACGGGCTGGCGCAGGAAAAGATTGATGGCCTTTGCCTTCTCAACTTAACCCCAAACAAGAAAGACCGCAAGGGAATTCGAGACTTACTCATTGAGCGTTTGGGGTTGTTAATGCTCTTTGATACCGAAATCCCAAGTTCCCCATCGAGTCTTGCTAGTGTCTTTTCGACCTCAACCTTGAGTCCATCAACACGGTTAAGGCCTGCCTGTAGCTCATCTGCAACCTTATTATTCTCCTGCTTCATGTTGAGAACCTCGCCTTGAAACTTTGCCGCCTGATATTTGCTTATAAGCTCCATATTTTCTCCTTCGGAGCTTAAACTGGAGAGTCTCGATATCTCATCTTGAATATGGCACAAGGATAATAATCTACCCTGTAAGTCATCTTTTAGTACTGCATTGTGTTCCAACCATAATGACAGTTCCGTTTGTATCTCTCTTAGGTGTCGGTATATTGGCCTAGCATCCGATTGTAAAGCATGTCCATCATGCTTCTTTTTGTTCTTGAGTTTCAACAACTCAGACTGTAAATCCTGTATCGAAGTGTGGAATTTTTGTATCTGATGAACCGAGGTACTAAACCTCAGCCAAAATTCTAAATTTTCCTCCAACAGCTCATCAATGTCTGAACGGAACCTTCCTTCTATTGCTGAAACAGAATGGGGTCTAACAGTATGTCTTCTCCTCATTATTCTCTCTTCCTCCTTTCTCAGTAAGACCTTTGAGTTTCCTGATGAGTCCTCAAATTTCTCTGTTCCTTGTTCATCAAGGTAGCTAGAAATCATCTCTTTATCCAAATTTGGTGATGCAACAGTTGAGTATGGGGATGCAACGACTTGAGTTGGACTCTCAAGGGGGCCTTCCTGAGTTGGAAATTTATATACTGTCGCAGGACTGTCCTCCGGATTTGTTTCTGGGGAGCCGAGTTTTTGCTTCAAAAGTTTAATCTCATTGTCTTTGGAGGCAACATCACCCCTTAATTCCCTAATCTCCATTGCTAAATCGAAGATGTTATCCCGGTTTTTCTTTTCCACTTCGCCGAGCTTCCTCCTTGCGTCCTTGTAATCGCGGAGAATTGAAGTATACTCCTCCAGCAAAACCTTTTCTCTATCCTCTAACCCTTTTAGGAACAGCTGTCTCCAGTTTGGCTGTTCTTCCTTCTCCAGTTCCAATTCCTGTGGATGAACATCCTCGGACAAATCTTGTGCCTTTCCCTGTTCCTGCTGCATCGGTTGATCTGATTGCTTTTCTTCTCCGTCTTCCTCCTTGATAGAAGTTTCGAGAATTGTAACATTCTTTCTCTTAATTTCACTTTCTGACATTTTATCTTCCAAGACCGCCGAATCGTCATCAAGAACTACCTTATTTGAATCTTCTTTAATCTCTTTTTCAGGTTTGGCATCAACTGCTTTCACATCTTGGAATAGTCTGGCATTCTCATCCTCCTCTTCGTGCTTCACACTTTTCAGTTTTCCTGACAAATGGTCAAGATTACAGCTAGCTTCTGTAAAATGTGTTTGAAGGTTGTTATTTTGGTCTTCCACTTTTCTGTTTAAATTTCTAATTCGACGCAGCTCTTCCTCCAACTCCTTTAGCCGTTTGCTCATCTTGTCCGCATTTTCCATTAGAGTCTCTTTTTCCTCTTCCAAGCTCCGAGCGTGCGCCTGAAGCTCATCGTTTTCTAATTTTAATCTATTTACTAAAGCATTCTGAGAAGTGACTGCAGCTTCCAGACTCACTATCTTGTTCACAAGTCTATCAATTTTCTCTGCTAGTTCTGTCATAGAAATTGAGGTGTTTGAATTCGTATCGAGCTGTTCCAAAACCCTAGAACGCAACGTGTCCTGATCATCATGTATTTCTTGATCCAGACTTATTGATTCTACATCAATATTCTCATAATCATACTCATCAGTATCGCACCAGTCTATGTGTTTCGAACGAAATTCATTTCTGAGGCTCTCAAACTTTTTGCAGGCTTCTCTAACCCTTTGGCGCTCAACTCTCGCGTCTTCTTCTGATCTCTCTTTCTTATCCTGCAGATTTGTTAAGCTATCTTTGCATGACTTTAAAGCCGTGGCAGCCATCAAAGTTCGAGCTTCGTTGTCTTCGATAACAGTGCCAATGCCATACTCATCTTGCAACTTGCAAACTCTTTTTTGCATATCAGTGATCTGATTTTCAAACTCCCAATACCTATCATATCCGCGTTCAAAAAAAATCTTCACAAACTCCTTTTCCGTCTGCAGCGCCAAAATATCCTTTTGAAGCTTATCGATTTCTCCCAATGCCTCCTCTTTGGTCAGCCCCGACCTCAGAGTAGCAGCTAGGGCAGCTTTAGCGGAACTTGCATTTCTCTTAAGCGTGCCCTTCCTCGATAATAACGTGGATTTGCTCCTCAAATATTTGGGGGCCTTGGGGACTTTTGGAATGTTTTTGTATGCATCCGGTGACACTTTGTTAGGACCGTCAGAAGAAGTTGATGTTTGAGAAGCAATCTCATCATCCTCGTCCTCCATAGCATACTGAACTCGCTCAGGAAAAACTGTGGCAATGGTGCGGTTGGCACTCTGAAGGTCTCTTGACAAGTGATCATATCGCTCTGCTAAAGCTCGATAGGCGCGAAAAGATTCTTCGACATAGGCAACTAGCTCCGGCCTCTTCCTGTAATACATTTCTGCCCTCTTTGCAAAGGAGTCCCCATCTTCATCAATGATTTTCAATGTATCATGAACCTTCTCCTCCATATCTGTAATTCAAATCACAGATTACTATAGCAAGCATTTGACCTTATGAGATTATAAACCTCTTAAACAAAAATCATCATCTGTAATCCAATGTACTAAACTAGAAATATCATTGTGACAATTCATCCAACATTTTCCAGCTACAACCTATATAACCTACATAAGCATTAGGCCATTTTCTTAGGGCGGTGAGCTTTTGCCCTCTTTTACCCAAGTTTGATTCTTCTTTCGCATGGATTATAGTAATTTAAGATATCGTCTAGTAAAATCGTAAATATATATATATAACATATATTAATCCCAGTAAAAGGAAAATTAATGGGGAAAATGCACCATTTGTACCAAATCAATTGAAAAATTGGGGAAACTAGAAATATCAAAACTGAAAGGAAGAACAAATGGATCAAAATCTCATACATATACATATATATTTACACAAAAACACACACACAAATACATACCTTGGAGGTTCTGTTCGAGCCATTTGGACTGCTTTGTCCTGATGTGGCTAGCCCACCACCATGAATATGCATTGCTTGCTGCTCTATGCAACATTCCTCCTCCTCCTCCTCCTCCTCCTCCTTCTCTCTCTCTCTCTCTCTCTCTCTCTCTCTAAACAAAACCAAAGATTACATGAAGAAACCCATTAAACACAAAATCTAAACGCATCGAATGACAGAAAATAATTAATCAATCATGATCCCAAGATTAGTGAAGGAATTAATCAAAGATTAGGAGACCTGATCACACACAGCTCTAACAAATGGTGGCTTGGTCAAGACCACACATTGGAGGAGATGATACTTCGCCTGAGTTATAGGTGTTGGAAAAGCTCAAAAAATGCAAGAGCCCTCTGTGAGGCTGTCCACGTGGCATTCCCTGAGCGTGCCAGGTTGGAAGTGTCCCCGGGAAAAAAAGTGAGAGCCCATGAATTAATATTTAGTTTTGGATATTTCTCTTGTTTTGTTGGAAAATACAAGCTGGAATCCGTGTCTTGTTCCCTTTTTTTGGTAATAACTTACCTATTTTTGGAAGAGTTCCATCTTCTTCTATGTTCAATGTTTATCAGTTTTTAGTGACTGGTTAATATATGATTATGTTCTGTGGAATGTTCTAGGACAAATATTTCGCATTTTAATTACTAGTATAATATGTTTCTTGTTTCCCAACTAGTTCGTGAAAATTAATGACAAGGAACGAGGTAATGTGATGCCAAAAGCCACGTTCTGGACACACATGGGCGCTAGTTAACGACCGGTTGGCTAACGTAGTGTGCCCCCAACTAAGCTCTAGGTGATCTAGTGGTACTTTTCTTCACAATATTGGAAGAAATTCAAGGTTCTAAACTCCTCTCTCTCTCTTTCTCTCTCTCTCTCTCTCTCTCTGTTGATTAAAAATGATATAAAATTGGGCTTGTACATCTAAATTTTGTCTCTAGCATTTCTATTACAAATTGTGACACACCCAAACCCGAAATGTGGCCAACACTTGGAAGGTGACGAAGCCATAAAATGTAGTGATGTGGAAAATGTCAATAAATTTAAACCTAAAAGTGATTAATTTAGAGTGTGCATGTGAACGGGATTGAACCTATATCACACAAGTGATGTCAAAGCATAGATAAATCGTAGTAAAAGAAGCGTAAGGACATTTATACTGAAAGGAGAAGTCTCCTACATGACAACCTTTACCAACAATCTTCGTCGTCATGAAACCTCTACCACTAAAGAGGCGAAAAATAAGGATGAATGGGCCTGAAAATAAAGTTTTGTAAAACCTTTTTGAAAAGTGTAACCCCTCGCTGTAAAACAAGAATATAGTTTTCCAAAAAATATTATAATAATAGTATGTAGTAGGTACCCTACAAAAAAAAGTGAGTCAAAGATGCATGGTACAACAACAAGGTATCTCAACATTAAATCTCAAACCGTTATTATCAGAATATAATGCTTCATTAATTTATGTAGGCACACAAGTCCACTTTAGAGGAAATCAAACAATGGAATAGGCTCGGTGTAGGTTTTACATTCTAGTACTACATCACGTGAGCATGATACATGAAGCTAGTCTTTAGCCTAGGACAGTACAAATAAATAAGAGACACCATGCAAACATATAATAACTAGGAGGGTTTCCAAGAAAATTTCGAAAAGTCAACTAATAGTCAACAGTTAACTTTAACGGAATATTTCATTCTCAAATGGAATATTCTGTAAAAATTAACAGGGAGGTTAACAGAATATTCCCTCCAAAATCTGAAGTGGACCTGGGCTGGAACAAAGGCCTAAAGGTTTGGGCTTTAGGTTTGGCCCGGGTTTGGGTTTTGGCCCCTTTCTTTCTTTTTCTTTCTTGTACCGGGTCGGTCTTGAGGATCTGGGTAGGGTTAACGGGTCATGGGCTTGGGCCGGTTTTTGGATCCGGTTTGGGCTTTTTTCAATCGGGTCGGGTCGGACCTAATTGGGCTAGCGAGTCGCACCCGCCGACCCAAATGAAGAAGAACACCGGAATCGGGAAATTTAGCAGGGAAACTTCCCCGGCTTCGTTTAGCTTCAAATCTCAACTAAAACTAGCAACCGAACATATCAAATTGAAGCCCAAGGAACAAGGAATCGAAATATACCATTGGGGTTCTCGTCCGTGGTCGCATTTGGCCGTAAAATGGCCTGCAAGGGCCCGGTTTCTCGCCGGAAACTGGAGAATCCTTTTTCTCCGAGGTCTCTGCTTTAAAAAGTCACCAAAATTCTTAAAACTACTCCAAAAGTACACCAAAACGTGATCTATTATGTTTTAAAAGGATTATCGAACGTTACCTTCAGCGGCATTGACGAGATCATCATCGGAAAAACTACAGCTCCCCGCCGGAGCTTCTGGCTCGACGGCAGTAGCTGGGTTCTCGGGGTGACTGCCCAGACATGATGTTTGCAGTGCTTTTGCACTCGTGTGGTTTGAAAATGAGGAGGGATGGTGATCTAGGTGGTTCGCCGGAGTGGAGGTTATGGTGGCTCGGTGTTCCGGTGATAGTACATGGAGGACGAGAGGGATGAGAGCTCGGGATAGGGTTGGTTGGTGCAGTTCGCCAGTGTCGCAGCGGCGAGGTGGTGGTGGTGCTTTCGGTGAGTGAAGGTGAGTGAGAGACAGCTTATAGACGGAGAGAAGGAATTAGAGAGAGTGAAGGTTGCAGAGTTAGAAAGAGAGAGAGAGAGAGAGAGAGAAAACGGGGGAAAGAAAATACATTTTAAAAACAAAATGGAAAAGAATGATGTACGGAAAGTAGGATTTTTTTTCCTTCCTATGATCCTCTTCCATCGTCTTCTCTCTCACTTTTTTTCTTTTACTTTATTCTTTATACAAAAAATTTAAAATAAGATGTTGACGTAACGTAATCACAACTATTTAAATAGAAGGGAACGAAGAGGGAGAGAATCTTGAGCTGTGTGACAGAGAGAGAAAGATCTCAGAAATCTGTGAGGGAGATGAGGGGAAAGAGAGAGGGAGAGTTTGATAGGTTAGATGAATTGGTGGGGTTTTTAAATTCAAAATAAATCATTATTTGAATTTCTACTTGCATCTCACTTCAATTTCCACCAAAAACAAAAGCACGTCTTCCCCCACTGCATGAAGACCCACTCAGACACGATAAAATCCCAGTATTGGTGCGCGTTGCACGAGGGAAGGTTTCAAGTTTTGGAGTTGCTAGGTATTTTTACATTGTTTTGAACATAACTTATTCGTTATAACTTTGAATTGAATTTTGTCTGCGCCTACGTGTTCGTTAAACGAGTACTATTCGAAAATAGTAAAATAAGAGTGAAAAGTTAAAGGAACATTGAGGTCCACGTGGAAAGTTTACGTGGCATCTCAGGGACATTTTAGAAAATTCATTGCTGTTGAGAATAAAATACAATAAATCTTAGGACAGGATGTCACAAATTGATCTAGCTGTTCAAACCAGCCAAACCAAACTAATAAAGCAGTTCGATTCGGTTTTGACACAAAAGCATAACTTTAGTTTGGTTCAATGCAAATTAACCTATTTAAAACCTACATAAAACCAAACCGAAACGACTATTTTAGTATTGGTTACAACCATTTGCATTCATCCCCCAAATAATTACTATTTTAACACAAGAACAAAGGTGCCATATCCCACAAGCTTAAGTCATTACATCTTAGTTTATTCCACAGCTAAACTAAGTCATCGTAATTTTATTCTTTTACTTTTATCAACAGAATGGAGAATTCGAACTTGAAATTGTCTTCCCATGTTGAAACGAAGCAGTACCGCTAAACCAAAAGTTAGTATTTCGTATTGAGTATTGAACTTTGATACCCCTTCTTTTGGATGAGATTATGTCACTCATCACTTAACACATAGAACTTATCCAATACATTGGAAAGTGATCTTAGATCCTTCAAGGATTTGGAGGGAGGGAGGGAGAGAGAGCGAGCTATCACATTATTTACAATTTTTTTTCTTTTAATTATTCACAAATTGTTTACAACATGAATTATTTACACAGTACACATATGTACAATAACATTAGGAAGAAGCTCTTCTATTTCACCTAATATTTACAATTTCTAAATTATTCACAAACAAATATTAGGGGTGAAGTATTAAGCCGCCTAGCTCTCATGCTTTCACATATTTACATCCAACAATCACAATTAAGGCAAATAATTCACATATCATCATCTCTTTTCCTTCACTTTTCTCAATTTTCTTCATTTTCTTCAGAGTTTCTCAAGCCAAAACTCTTTTTTTTTTCTTTTTTTTTTTCGTTTTCGAGATTTTAGCTATACACATAGTGGTGCGGTACTTAATTTTGAACTGCGAGAAAGACGGCAGCAGCAGCCTCCTTCCCAGCCAATCCCAAGGCAAAGGCAGCAGGAACGCAAACCACCTTCCAGCAATACTGGGACTAGAATCCTCCATAGCACGCCAAGTCCGCTACTCAAAGTTATATTGGCAATTCCCCTACTACTAATAGGTAATTACATCAAACTAGGCCGGCATCCATTTCATCCGGTATCAACCGTTTCTCAGAGAAGAGAGCCACTCTTTCATATATTTCATGCTCTCTGCACAACCAAGCAAAATGCAGAGAACAAGTCAGCACTGGATGTTCATTTTACTCATGAAAAGCATTTTTCTAGTGAGAATCAGATACATTTTTCTTTTGCATATGACTAGAACGCAATTGCATCTCAACAAGAAAGCTGAATAACAATTACCACAAACAATGGTCCAATCCATATATACCACCACTTCACGACACACACTATCGCAAACAAACATGAAATAGACAGACATGATCAGATAAACAAAGTATGGGATTCTGGTGGAATAACGAGGAAATAGCCACCAAACAAAGCCCGTAAGACACCACAAATAGGAGCAATGATAATACCAATAAATCCATCATGCCCCCCATTCTATCTACCAAGTACATTTGTCTCTGAGATGTGAAGATGCGAATGCAAGGAATAAGGACTTCTTAAACAAACTTATGATAAAAGCAAAGTATCGTCTTCGTTAGCTTAGTGGATATGACAATCAATTGAACTTAACCTCCCTTCCCAACAACTCCAATCCCAATAAGCCTCCATTGAAATATAGAGCTTCATTACTACTATAATAAGTGCCAAATGTTGAAATATATAAATTCAGCAGCTAAAAACATTTACTAAGCATATGCAAGGTGCCAAATCACATAAAACTGAATCTGGACAATCTCTTATATTAAAAATTCAAGAAATATTTGAGACCATGCATCCATTTCTTTTAAAGTCCCTGAGTGCTTACTTCCACTTCTATTACCATTGAAGTTTCACTTAATGTCGTAGTTTTAGTTGAACTGCAGCATCAATATAACGACTGGTAAAATTTAGTGAGCATAAAATATGCATGAAAATCTGGACAAAATGACAGGACAGAAATAGAGGAAGCCAATATTCACCAAATTAAGCTAAATTTCAACCATTAACTTTTATCACATGTAGACATAAGATCTAATTGTATGTGATATGTGTCTACCACCCGGCACTCAAGTTGTGCCAATATCTATTGATTATCAAGTCAAGAAAAACGCCATTTCCTAAAACTTGTGTTTCTTCGGTGGATTCTACTATTACATAGAATATTCCTAAACTTAGCCAGTTCAAAACCTAACTTGTAAATGCTCTTTTATATCCCTTAAACAAAAAAGTTGCAACATTAACTCGACGTTGTTTATAACAAAAAAATGTGATCCTCACTTAAAATTCATATATCCGATGCAATAACACTAACGTTAAACCAGCCTATAGTCATTGGGAATCACTTCCTTTTTCCCCAAAATAACAACAGAAGCTAGAGCTCCATTTCTAAAGAGGGCCTAAAATCAACAGGTATTAAACATTTAAAATTAATAAGGTTTTCAAAATTTTCATATCAACTATGATATGGTATTTCATCAAGCAGGATACATGAAAGCATTGCTAAAAAAACGTTTGTTTTTGTTTGTAATAAGAGATCAATAGTCATGTAAGGCATAAGCTGTTACCATCTGAATAACCATCTGGGATGTTCCCAACAGTGCTCAAGAAATTGTTCATTGAATCCTTCACCATATCATGAATAACATGGCCATAGCATGGAACCAGCACGGCAAAACTATCGTCTGCATCGTCATCACTAGTGAACCCAGGTCCAAGAGGCTCCAACCATCCAACCGACCAATCGGAGTCCTCAGACTCAGAACCAGAAACACATACACCCTCAGATGGCACAAGAACAACGTCAAATTCCCTATCAATTTTCCGTTCTTCCCGACTACGCCATTTGCGCCTCACCCTTCTCGACGATGATGAGGCCATATTTGACCCCTTCACCGAAGAAAACTTTAACGTATCAGTTTCCCGCATGCCCGATTCAGGGGAAGAATTTAAAGAGGACCCCTTTGGGACTATAGGCTCTTTTTGCTTTCCACTCCATAACGACCATGAAAGCTGGGTAAAAGCCACAGCCATTTCCACTCAAAGATCTCTTTCCAGTTGCGCAAAGTATCCCGGGCTTAACGAGTGGAAGTGGAAACGGTTCAACCTGTCCATGAAATGTTCATAACAACAGAATCAATCAATGTATCAATACAATCAATTCTATACAACAGAAAAGGAAATTGCTCACATTCATAACATATATTAAGAAAAAGCTGAAAAAGCTTAAACAGGAAATGGCATCAGCAAAGTATGATTCTTTTGGCTGAGTCAGTAAAAGTTTCCGATTTCTGAGAAAGTCAAATGTTCCCTCTAATGAATTTTCTCGGCAACCAAACAAAAGATAAGGTAAAACAACTGCTGTAAATTCAATGAATATAGACGCGCAATACCAACAAACCGAATCCGACCCAGAAAATCTTCCTTGTCAAAAAACCAACTTTCCCAAAGAAGAAAACACGATTTTGCCAAATTTAGCCAGGAATGCAATTAAGGAATGGACAGATTTTGGAAATTACAGAACCAGAAATAAAAACAGCTCAATCCCCTTTACAAGTTCAAACGCACAACTCAATCCCACAAACAAATCCTACAGAAATTCACGGAAAAAGAAAAACACACTATCAAATCGAAAACTTGACCAAAACCCATGTTCTAATTTTCGATTTCGTAAACGAAAAACCAGAGAACTGGGCAAAAAATCGACACAAAAGTTAGAGCATTTCGATCTGTCTTGCTTCCAGAAACAACTTCTCCGCAAGGAAAATTTATCTGACCCGTCCTAATCTAAGTAGCCCAGAAAATTGGGGAAATCAAATTAAAATGCTTGCCTTGTGGTTCAAAATTGGAATATCAAATGGAGATTCAAAGCCGGAAACAAAAGTATCAGAAATGTCTTTTTGTTCGAGACGAAAAGATCGAAGGAACTTTTAATTTTTATATATAAATAAATATATATACACACACTTCGGAGCGTGAACTAGATTTAATTTTTCAGGGGTTCTGCAAGAAAGTAACCCTAATTTTTCAGCTGTGAGTCTTCTTCAGTCAGAACTGAGAAAGGGGTCAAGGAGATTGGGCCTTCTTCTGCTTTCAAGACAAGGGCTATTATGTTGTGCAACCGAGTGATTACATTAAGGGAAGGATGATCGTACACGCAAGTACCTTCGGAAATATTGCATTTTTTCTCACCACGTTATTTATTACGGTTGAATTAAATTTTGAAATTGTGTTTATTCACTAGAAAGATATTTAATTTAAACTCATTCAACAACGATAAATAAATTGACAAACAACATCGTCATTTGTAGGTGGTGAGCAAATATTCTCCTTTTCAGGTCAATTTCTTTATTTTGGTGAAAAAAGCCGGGTCAAATTTGTGATGTTGGAAAATAAAAGAAATAATTGATGGTAGATTTTTTTTTTTTTTTGGTATCCTATTTTAATATCACACGAAACAGCATGGTATTTTAGAAAATAAAAAATTTGTTACGACAAAAATAGTAAAATAAAACTTGCTTAGGATTGGATGATTATTATTATTTTTTAATTATTACAAGCTTACTTGAGCTATACTAAAAGGTGGGTTTGAATTCAAAATGCAGTTCGTTGAAGTAAAAGTTGATATTCACCCATGACAATCTACTACTTCCAATTGAAAAACTGTTGAGTAAGGACTTCCATGTCATTTTACTGGTTAGTCAATAACTCATAGAGGGGATCCATGCATTCGTACCCTTCTTCCGTCTCACGGGAGAAGGGCTTCTATGACTGATGGCACGTATGCACCATCAATGTTGCGTTTTGTGATATGATATATTGTCATGTGTAAGTATATTGTCACATGACATTTTATTAACAACAAAGGAGTTTATAATAATAGTATACTCTTTTTTTTTTTTTTTTAAACGGTAGATTTTGTTATATTAAATTTTAAATTAGTCATCAAGAGGTTCGAATCCACACCTTCGTACAAATGTTCAACTCTTGGTAAAGGGCCACTTGTTACAATAACAATATATTCATTTTATGAAAATTGTAATGTGTAAACAATAGAATCAATTAAGTTTTAAGAAGAACCTCAACTTTTTTAATAAATCAAACATATTCCTAAGGGTGGAAAATTAGCTAGACCAATTCGAGCATTTTTATTTGATATTATGAATTTGTTTGGAAGTACTTTTAAAAGAGTTAAAAAGCGCTTTGATGAAAGTATTTTTGGCTTCCTAAAAACATTTTTTTTTTCAGAATTTACTTTTATTTTTATTAAAGATTGATTTCAAAATCACTATCATCAAAAACGGTTTCAGTCATTGTAAAAACATTTTCAAACGAGCTATGGAATACTAAGGTAATGTTAATTTATTATTTATGTTTGACATCAAATTCCCAAATGAGTGAACATATATCATTAGTCATCTCATAATCAACCGGTCATTTTTTATGATTGTCATTTTTTATGATTAATATTCACCTGATTCACGTTTTGATGGATTCCTAGGACACGAGGTGTGTGGTTATTTGAGAGACGGCTGGTAAATTTTGGTGGCTTGGACTTTGGATTTGACCTGAATTTTAAAGGCCATTTGCCGTGTGCTTGTGTTTCAAGTAACCTTATAACCCACTTGTTGGGTAATTCCGCCCTTTTGTTTAAGATTTCTGAGGCCTACCGCCTACCCCAAGAGAAGAATTTACCAAACCAATAAACAAATAAATAAAAATAAAAAGAATAGAAATTGCCATGTTATGGGAATTGATAAACGTGTTTCACGAATCTATCATTTTTGATACATGCTATGTTAGGTGAGGAAGAATTGAACACAAAATCACAAGTGAAACAATAAACAATTTCCTTGCGTATTTATCTTTTAAAGACAGGTGAATTATCATCGTGAGAGAAACAGATGTATCTTATATAATATTAAATTTATATTCTTCTCACAAATGTTGAAACTTAGTCACCAAATTAGCTCATCGTACTACAATGTGTTAAATCCACGTCTCAATACCTAAGCTGATTGAAATGTATGAGATTAGAATGGGATCAAATTTGAATAAGTAAAACAAAGAATGTCATTTGATGAAGAATTAAAATATGCTAAAAGAATTTGGTATTTATAAACTTGTAGTAGTATTATTTGTTTCTTGGAGTGCAAGAAACTTTGGTAATTCCCATCCCTTTGAATGAGTACAGATAACGCGGCCACAATGTTATTTGCACTCCTCTCCTTCCCCTATTCTCATGAATATATAGTGATGCTAATCTTTTGTTTATTGTTTAACCTTCGAGGTCCACGACTTGTTAGACAACATTTAAAAAGCCGATTCCCCAGGAAAGAACTTTCGTTTTTTGTTATTATTACAGATATATATATATATATATATATATATATTGTTTTAGATTTTTTATTACAATTTGAACTGCGAGAATAAGATTCGAATTTTGACCTCAAATGCGAGGCACAAACTATAAACCCTTATAATTTAGTTAGAAAAATTAAAAATATGATATGATTGAACACACTAAATTTTTTTTATTCTACACCCTGTATGCGAAATTACGATATCGCGAAATCATGTTTGATTCTAATTAGTATTAAGGTCTAATGTTACTCACATGAATCACAAGTACATATTATATTTAAGTTGAGTTTGATATTTTATTATCGGTTGGGTTATTGTGTCGCCTTACCGTTAGAGTAGAATATCTCCCTCTCATATCAATGGTGATGACATATTATATTTGCGTTATTAGTCGGCTCATTGTGTGGCCCAACTCAATCCCTCGTACCCTTAGTAGAATATCTCATTTCCTTTAGTTTAAAATATCATCATATCAAATAAAAATATCACTTATATGATCTTACAAAGGATATTAGTTGATCTAACAAAGGATATTGGGTGACTAGTTTATCGACTTAAACAGTAAAATTAGGAATAAGTCTTCAATAGTTTGGACTCTGCCTTTATATCATTAGCTTGACAAGTAAACAAAATAATGTTTTTTTAATTCGACCATGACCGTTCATTTCTCATACTATTGAGTAGGCTGGTCTATTGAAGAAAAATTGATAAAAGTACCCTTCCAACCAAAACAGCAAAAGAGGGCCATCGAGTGCTGCTACCATACGATAATTGTATGGCCTGTGCATGCATGCGTACACAATTATATGTACCTTATAATAATTTCAATACTGGAGGAGTTGTCCATTTCATTGGTTTTTAATAACAACGGACAAAAATTAAAATGTTAAACAGCCCATGATTTATGTATAATATATTCCCGACAATATATAACGTATATGGCTAAGATCTTTGATCTTTCATGTGCTAACTTATCTCATGCATGTATATTCTATGTGTCCATACAAAAATAAGTAAGGGTATAATTTTGCTTTCATCGTCCACTTCCAAAGAAGAAAGATAAGGATAAATGGATGAGTTTGTACTTCGGCCACAAAGCGTCGAAGGCCTAGAACCTTCTCTCTTCCAAAACAATCTGAAAGTACGTGTCACCAAGAACATAAGGAAAATGATCGATCTGTAGCTTAGGATATGACGCGGGCCTCTTGTCAGATTCTTTGCATTCAATCATCCAATGATCCATTGAGATTGATGGTTTGTTGGTGCTCTTCTGCCTAATTAATTAATTAAATTAGCCAACACCAACGATGCACTTGGCATGCCGATGATTCTGTTCCATATATGCCATGACGATCGGAGTACATATTAAGGTTTAACGTTAGCACAACGGGCATTTCACGCCATTGAGGTTTATAATCGATTCTAAATTGTTTCATAAGGTTTCAATTTTTTTTATTTTTTTTATTTTTTGTTCGAATCAAGCTCTACAATGTTTCGCCAATCTACTAATTTATACTTTTTTGTTTAAGTTATTTGTTATTAAATAACGGTGTGACAATGTGGGATTCATCCCTATATTGATCTTAGTGTGTTCTTTTTGAAATGATTAGTGGGTTTGGAGGGTAAACGTTCCTCCTTTGTCACGTCAATAATTAATAATTGATTAGACGATCAACTTATAACACAAAGTATAAATTTATTCAATTTTAAAATGTTTAGTAAGAGAAAAATAAAACCTCGTAATCCATTTTAAAATCGACCGAAGCTTAATAGTCCATTCTCAACAAATTTGATTACGTAACACGTTATATATTTTAACTTAATATTACGTGCATGCATTTCACGCATTTTCTTACCCACACTCGGACGACAGCCCCATCGCAGCAGAATTATATATGTGAATATTCTTTGCCCATGAAATTAATTCAATAGCTTAGCTTGGCTTTTGAAAGTCATTGATTGCAATTTGCCTTTCTTTGCATGCTTTACTTAATTTGCAGCAAATTAAAACTGCTTTTTTTTTTTTTTTTCTTCCTTCATTGGTATAGAAATATGACTCCTTAATTTAACAATTTACAATAAGTACAATATATATAAGGTTTTTTGTTCGAAATAAAAAAGAAAAAAATATATATATATAGCCACATAGGGCTTGACATAACCTATATATGGAAAGAATTCTAAAATAAATACAAATGTAAATTACATTATTTTAGTTACAAAGAGAATTACAGTTTAATTAATTCTACTCTAACATCCCAACACACCCTGGCAAACTTGACTAGCCTGATCGGACTAATTTGGAGCAGAGAACACCATTCCGTAGTTGATGAAGAGTCTTGGTAAGCAGGTCAGTGGACTGATCATTTGATATATAACAAACTAAATGATTACCAAGAGCCACGTTTTAACGAACTAAGTGATAATCAAGTTCAATATGATGTGTGCGAGCATGATGAACTGAATTAGAAGCGAGGTAAATGGCACTAAGATTGTCACAATGCAAAAAGACAGGAAAAGATAAGCGAACCCCAAGCTCATGAAGTAGAAGCAAATCTAAATGGTTGCGACACATGCATGAGAGAGAGTGCGGTATTCCGATTCAAGACTCAAATGAAACACAATCGGCTGTTTTTTAGAGCACCAAGAGATGAGATTAGAGTCAAGATAAACAAGGTAGCCAATAATGGAACGACGAGCATTTGGACAACCAGCCCAATTAGCACCAAAATATGTAGACAAAGTAGCGGAAGCAAGTTGAGGAATCAACGTAACACTAAAATCCAAAGTACCTTTGACATAACGGAAAATCCGTTTGGAGGCAATCATATGAGCAGTGCAAGGTGAACTCTAGAAATGGGCAACAATATTGACTGCAAAGGAAATATCAGGGTGCGTGGTAGTGAAATACTAGAGGGAGCCAACTAACTCACGGTATGGAGTGGAAGAAGCCAAGACGGACCCATGAGAAGCGGTGAGAGAAATCCTGGTCGCCAAACGACCAGATCATACCCTCGAACAGCCAGCTTCTCACTCTCGAACACTGCCATCTTTTTTGGGTTATAAATGGGGAAAAAATGGTTGTGGCGCGAATAAGAAGGAAAGAGCTGCCGACCCTAATCCAAATAGGAATAGTCGAATAGGGAAGCAATAGGAAAGCAAAATATTTCTACCGTCGTTACTCGTTTTTTTCGACGTGTTCGTGTAGATTGAAAGGAATTTTAATTTTACTCTATTATTTGTTTGACACAAAAAAAATTCTGGATTAGTTGGTCATGGTAACTAGATTTCAATTCGAGACCAAAATGGCATTCAAAGCGAAAGAAGAAAAAACTGAATGGTATTTCATCCAAATCAAAGACATCTCTATCGTAAATCCGACTTTCTATCAATTATATCTGAGAGTTCAACACGGTGATTCTCTCAACCAATGCCTCACTACAGTGACTCTCCTTCTCCATCACTGTCTCGCTACAGCGGTTCTCTTTCGTGACGAAAATTTTATCTTAACCTTCTGCTTGCATTGCACCCTCTGCTCCTTTTTTGCCTTCAGCATTTACATTAACAAGTCGAATTGCTGGCTGTCGTCCCTTTTTATTTGGGGCAGGTTTTGAAGCGTCTGCATTCACCTATAGGGTTTAAAATTTTCAGTCAGAGAGCAAGGAAAAGCGTAATGAAATGCTGCTCCAAGGGGGGAACCCCAGCAAGCAATAAAGTATTTTTCAATGCCAAATGGCAATTAGGAGTCAGAGGTACCGTAAAAACACAATTCTGAAACGCAAGGGTAAGAAAATTATTAGAGAGGAGAACAATGTACTCGCTATAAAACATTTTAGTTCTTTAAGAAAAATAAAGCGGGATTCAAAAAGGATAATGAAGCATACCAGTAGGTTCCCAATATCAGGTAATAGTTTCTTTCTTGGCCCAAGATTGTCATTCGGCTATGCAGGCTTCTGAACTAAAGCATTCTGAAGTAGCATTGCACCTTGATAAGCCACTGAGCTATCCTTCTCCACTTCAGTTGTATCTGAACAGTTCAAAATGCCATCAACCGTCTCTGATTGTGACGACTCATTCAACTTAATTTGAACTGTCAATCCCCTATTGCTGCACTTAGAGGCAACACAGCCACATGATGCCCCAGAGCTGCCACCCGTGGATCGACATCTGCATTTCATCGTCTTGCACAAGGAACTCTTACTGCATGACCAGCACACTGTTGATGCAGTTTTAACTTTTACAACGTTCGAGTTTTCTGAGGCAGATGGGGTGATGTCCTCCACTAACTTGTAACTATTACTCCCAACAGAAATAGAATGTTGGCTCATAGTTCCCTGACCATCAGATATCATAATTGAAGGTGTGAGAATCAAGGAAATCACATTTTGTATTTCTAATCGGGGAATGTAGTTGTATTTGATTAAGAACCCTGAAACTCATTCATTCCCTCAAACCATTATATGATTCAAGCTCCAGAAAGAAGATGAATTGAAGTTCAAAAAAATTAAGACACGAAACATGGATTCGCATTTAAGTGCACTAACCTGTGACTTATTCCCAACATCAAGCGCAGCCTTAGTTGTCCAACCATACTACTTAGACTAACGAATTGTTCCTTCAGATCTTTTATACCTAAATCCTTCTCCAAGCAGTCATCCTCTTGCTCCTGGCATGTGCACCTTAAGATGGCAGGGGAAAAAGGGCAAGGTGCAGAAGCAAAATACATGGGGATAGTTTACGACAACCTTGCAGGAACAAAGTTCAGAAGCAAAACTTCTCACCTCGGCATTTCTTGCTGCTGCGCCTCAGCTTCATCCTTCAGGTTTTCAGCTTCCTCAGCCATCCTACAAATCCAAAATGAGAAAGATGACTTTCTAATCTGATTCTGTCTTGTACGTAAAAACTGGGGTTTAGGAAATTTTATCCCACAAGAACTCTTAAGCAGAATCATTCAAAAAAATTCCAACATGTATGAGAACAAAACACAACAAATAGATAAGTCAGTCATGCATACCATATCATGTAACACAAGTACCCTTAAGAGGCTTGGAAAAAAAAAAAATTAATAAGGAAATGCACATTTTAGTTTTCAAAAACTTTGTTTGAGTGACATTATTGAACTACAAAATCAAAACTTGCAAACCTTAGTGTCAATGCAATATCTCATACTAGTTATTCTCAACTCTCAATTGAGAAAGTAAGTTTGCTCCCCTATATTAACTTGGGATTACTTTCATTGAAGATGTATCACGGATATATATACATCTCATCCAATTTATTATAATTTCTGAACTTCTCATCTATTCATTTCTTTTTGCATAATGAAAATAGTATTGACCATTGATAAGGTATCAGTCATTCAAGAATGTAGGAGCACACAGTAAGTTTTATCTTTCATTGCAATGGAAAAATTCAATCATGTAGTATGCCAAATGGATTTACGATTGGTGTTTGACACTTGATTAGATGTAGCAGAGTCTAAAAGGATCCGCCAATCTAATCCACCTACACCTGATAAAAGAAAATTTGGATAAACAATTTCAGTGGAAAGATTTATTGCCCTATGCGCCTGGAATGAAATGCCAATCAATTTCTTTTAGTTAGATACCTGAAAACCATAGAAATTCATCTGCTAGTGGATGTAGAAGGATCCAGTAGGACGAGTAGCCAAAGCAGAAGTAGCTCTGCTAGCTAATGATTTTTTCCTAACTACTACGAATATTGTTAAATATTTTGCGCATAAGCTCCCTAAGCACAAAGTTTTAACTTGAAAGTATAAGTGACGAAAATCCTGTATGCATACATAAGTACATAGTTTCTAGCAGCAGTGTTGACAATGCATTGGTTTTTCTTCATATTTAAAAAGATCATAGAATAATGGACGAATCATTGCAGTCTCTTAGACATAGAGGTTTCAAGAAATCTTTGGGACTCACTCTTCTATATGACGTTCATATTGAGCACATAGTTCGTGTAACTCTGCTGTTTCGTTAAACTCATATTCAGTACCCTGCACCAATTATTTAAAATGTGTCAAAAGTACTTGTCTGATTGTGTTACAATGAAGTCCTAAGATGCTATTAAAAAGACCCATTTCCAATTGCATCTTTGAAGATGAAATGAAGGGAATGTCATTTCCAGTTCAACTAGAAACACAATCAGAGTACATGTGATACAAGTATACTACAAATAAACTAATGAATCAGTTTACAAGTATACATGTATGAGCAAACGCACCAAAAACACACACATGCATACATACACAGACAAACACACATTCAACAGTTCATCACTTCATTGTTTGGTTCTGAAGTACCTGAATTGCTTCAATCTACCCATTTTTAGCACCTACATGAGTTTAAGAAAAAATGAGGGAGTACATTTAGTTATTATACAAATTCAAAAGAAATTAAAGACAACTCTACAGGTTTCTGTTCTGACCACCTTTTTTGTGCAACAAAGCCTTGCGAGATTCTAACAGCTGCCTGAGCCGTTTAGTGGCCATGAAAGCTTCCATATTCTTTCGATGCAAAACCAGAAGCAGAAAGAAAAACACTAAGAGAACTGATTCTCTACAAGTTGCAACTACTGGAAATAAAAGTTCCATCAAGTGGTTTATCCATAGCATCTTATTATAAAAGAAATACAAATTTACCTTCTTCAGTCTTTGATTGGAGTCCAATAGCTTATGCATCTCATGTTCATTCTTCCTACCCTCTTTTTTGAGCTGTTGATGCATAATGATATCCAAAAAGATTTCATATACCTCTATATAATATAAGTTCCGCATAAACTATTGAACACTTTTCCAGACATACTAAACAGACTAAGCTAGTAGCTGGTATATATAGTTCCATAAAGGTTATCGAAAATATGCTAACTTAGTACATTAGGGAGACGCATATACCTGAAGAACTTCTTTTTCCAGGGAAACCCTTTGCAATCTGAACTGCACAGACTCAAGCTTCATCTTACATTGCACTTGAACCTAAACAGCACACAATTTGTCAATGGTGAAAGAACAAAATTTAACAAAATTTCATACAGGAAAGCCTCATAACTAACAAAATGTCACCTTCTGAGCCTGCAACCTCTGAATCTCGAACTGTAACTGCTTTGTAGGCTCATCGCCCCTTCTTCTAAGAACCGAGAGTTGAGACTGAGCATCTAGCTTCTTCGTCAACACTGCAACCTGCACAAATGAATTATAGATATAGAACCTGCAAAACCATTTTTGAACACCTCGTCACAACTTCGAGCATAAAAATCCACCTGATCCTCAAGGAAAGTCAACTTTTGAATGTAATCCTCTCTCAGCTTTTGAGCACTGCTGTCACAAGAAGTGGATGAACCATTTGCTAGCTTGAATCTCAGCTCCTCAAGCTCCTTCTGCCAATTGTTACCAAAAGCAAAATTTAAGAGCTTTTCGCACGTAAGTAACTCGCAAATCAGAACCTAAAAGAACAATGGCTGCCAGAACAATTCAATTAGATTCAAATCAGCCAATCAGACTCAACTCAAGTTAACTTTCCCAATTTCACTCCTTTACCACATTTCTCGCCACCCAAATATAATTCGGACGCACAACTCCAGAGAAAACTCAATCAAATCAAGCATGAAATCAAGGGTTGCCAATTTTCTTTTCTTTTCTCCATCAATTTCTCGGCAACCAAACAGACTCCCAAATTTAGGGGAAAAAAAATGAAACCGAAACAAAAGTAGAGTGAAAGAGCGACCTGATATGCTTTATTTTCAAGCTCCAATTGGTGAAATTTCTTCTCGTAATCATCGCCGGTGGATGCGTCGGCGGTTCGCTGTGCGCGGCGGTTGCCTTTCTTCATCGTCTGACTTCCAAATCGGCGAGTTCTCGAGTGGGTACGGATCGGACCCGAATTCTGCAGTGGAGTGAGTGAAGCGAAGCGTTAAAGTACGCTGAAGAAGAAGAGGGAGGGAGGAAGGAGGACCCAACAATATACCCTGTAATTAAATAAAATAAAATAAAAGGAGGGAAATTTCTGATTCAATTTTGCCAGGTATGAGTTAAATGAACGTTGACTAACTCACCTACATTTAGGTTTTTTTTTTTTTTAAGAAAATGTTATTAATATTCTAAAATTTTTATTACACACTTTAAATATTTATTTAAAATAAAAAATACAATTGCAAAGTGTGCATTATAAAATTTTTAAAGTCTCAATAACAATCTCCTTTTCTAAAACTCAAAAATTTGAATTCAAACAAAAGAGAAAAAAAAATAATAATAAGGTACATACTAATAAATACCCAAAATTAGGAGTGGAAATTCGTGTGAGCCGGTCACAATGTTTCTATTTAAAGAGACGTGTCATTTTGTGTTTTGTGTATAGACTTGATTAACTTGGGGAATATTTTTGCTTACCACCCTCAAGTGATAGTAACACTCACCGTTCTATTTCACTACTGGATGAATTTAAATTCGAAATCTATGTAATAAATTGACACCCATCTCAAAATTTAAACTCATTTAATAATGAGTTGAAGAAGTAAAGCAACCAAAACGCAAAGACGCGGGAAGTTAGGCATGTTATGTGGGTCATTTACACACATCCTTTCCGAAGAAAATCACGTAATTCAAGGAAAACCATGTCTAATCTCATTGATGTGGTGGATTAGATGTTCGCTAAATGGAACAGCGTGTCTACAAAATGCCAGTGAAAACGGTCCCGAGTCCTGAGCAACATCGTCTTAGCAACAAAGCCAACAAAGGCCTAATCACCTACATCTCGATCTTCATCAATCAAACACAAATCAAGGCTCCGGATCGATAAATCCTCATAGCCACAGTAATTTTGCAATCACTAGCAACCTCAAATCCTACGTGGCTATGACCCACCTGCTTCACGCTGCTGGTATAAGATAATGCCAACGAAGGAGGCAGTGGAATTTACAGGTGGTTTTCCTTCTCATCTTTTGTTCTCTTCTGCCGGAGAGGGCTTCTTGGTGCAGGAATTCCAGCTTCCTTGTTGGCATCCGATTGCTGTGGTTTATCAGCATTCCTGTCTCTAAATGGGTTGCCGCTGTTTGATGTAGCAGCTGATCGCATGGCTCTTGGTAGCTTCATAGGGATGCTTGCCTCTTCTCCTTTGTTATCTGGCCTTCGAGGTGCTTCAGCAACTTCTGGCTGCGAGGGAGGCGGAGCATTTGTAACAAGTTGAATGGTGGATTTTCGCCACTTCTTTCTCTGGTTAGGCTTTGGTGCGTTGGATTTGACCTTCAGTTGATAAAACCATCAAAACGTAAGCCAAAGTGAGTGTAAGACTTGTGAAATAATTAAATTCTGAAGCATCAACCAAGAACAAATTGACTGCACAGATGATAAGGGGCAAGTGAAAAGCAATTCGATTCTATCAGGCGAGACTAAAGTATACCAACGTATTTCCAATTTCGGAAAGTGCCTTCCTTCTTGGTTCACCATCATCAGTTGGCTCACTAGAGTTATCAGCTAATGCATTCTGAAGCAACCTTGCACCATGAGTAACAAGAAGCTGATTCTTCTCTGCTTCATCAGTCCCGATCTCATCTTTAATCCCTTCAGACACCTCCACTTGTGCAGATTCTTGCGCCACAAGTGAAGCTGATTCTCTATTTGAACACTTTGTAGCAGCACAGCCACATGATAACCCACAAGTGCCTGCGGAAGATCGGCATTCACATTTGCTAGTTTTGCATGATGAGCTTTTGCTGCAAGAGCAGCATACGCCCGATTCACTTTTCTTCAGAGACACGATCCCATCACCTGAAGCATCTAATTTGAAGCATCCAAAATTCTTAACTTCTGACTCATTATATCCTCCCCCACTTGAACTTCCACTTTTGGATTTTCTCTTTTTAGATGGTCGTTTTCTTGACATTACCCAGTCGCCATCCTCCTCTGCATCAGATTTTTCTGAATCAGACGTATCCATATCCTCCCAGATAAATGACGCCCGGTTTTCCTAGATTCACAAAACACGTCATATAAAGATTAACACTTATGTCAGTTGTAATCAGGAAATGGCAACAAGTATTTTAAAACAAAAACAATAAAGAAAACGTAGTATTAAGCAGCATGAGGAACTTGCAAAAGATAATGTCACCCGCACGTACCAACTTGCGCAAATCATACTTGTGCCCACCATTGTTTAGGTCCGCGTCCTTAGAACAGTTCATGGCGAATTTCTTCAACGCCTGATTCTGCTAGGAATCGCAAACGATTCAGAAAATTAAAAGAAAAATGAAAGGAAATAGTCAAATAACTACAGGAAGATAGAATAATCATGGTTTCACATTGGCAACCACATAAGCTAATCTAAGACTTTACCTGATGAACAAGTTCAGCCCTCTGCATCTCTGATTTTCTAAGCAAACTACTCAGGCTTACAACTTTTTCCTTCAAATCTCTTATTTCCAAATCCCTCTCTCTGTATGCAACTTCTTTATCTCGTAACAAACACCTTGAAAATCGAGAAAACATTTATTTTCAGTGGCATTCCAAAGTAAATACTCAAGGTAAAAACAATTACGCTGACAAGCACACTGAAGTTTTTTCCCTCAGACAAAATTATTAGGAGGAATATTTCTATTCTGGTAAAATCTTTGACCTAAATATAATGTATTACCTGGAGGAAGAAGCTAAATTGAACAAATGATTCATCAAATTTTTTGCATCAGCAAGAGACCTAACATGGTTCCAGCGTCCCCTCCCAGTAAATCCCCGCTCGCGCTCTTCTGCTTCTGACAATTGTGATGCCATAGAAACCAGGGTGCTAGATGAAGTAGCAAGCATGTTTTCAAGTGCATAAATCCTTGAATTTCTCGCCCCAGGAGACATTGATTCGGGGTAATCACTACAATAGGCACCATTCAAAAGAGAGAGATGTATGTCAAGTTAGCACCAAATAATAAAGTCAATTTGTTCAAATAGAATATTCATCTACAAAACACTCACCTGAAATTAGTTCGTTTTAACATTTCTGCTTCTTCTTTTAGCTTTGCGACCTCCTTGGCCATCCTAGCCCGCCTGAAATACCAAGAGTTAATTAAACTGATTCTGCAAAATTGTGACTGAGATAGAATCTCTTACTCTAACAAACAGATATAACAGAATTCAAGGATTAAAACAGCCAGCATTCAATATGATTCTTGGCACAACTAAATACAACATTTCAACATAATATTACGGATGGCATCCTTTTCAAAGTAGTCAACTCTAAGAATCTCATAGACCATTTAAGTAAATATATAAAGTAGTCTTCTAGAATGGAAAGACTTACTCTTCCATTTGACGCTCATACTCAGATCGTACTTCATGCACCCGAACTGTGACTTCAAGCTCATGTTCAATTGCCTGCATCAAAGCCTGGATGCAGAAATATTACATACAGGATAAACACAAACCGGTCGTAAACAAATCAACCAAGAAGTTACTAGCCGTGAATTGGACAATTCTAACCCTATCTCAAGGCTTGCAGTTTCCACATTGTAAGAACACATATCTTAGAAAAAAATTCAAAGCAAGATGCTGAAGGTTCATTATCAAGCGATGTGATGCTTCATCCAATATGGCGTAGATTATTTGATGCTATCATTTTGTGTACAGCTACAGATCTACAACATTAATCCATCATGCAAACAAAAAAAATCCTTCTGATAAATGACTCTTTTATTCCTCATCAGATACTTTAGAGAGTGACAAGTACCTGAACTCCAGGACCATGTCCACTGCCAGCTCCTGCATAGAGTAGTAACAAATTGTTAATACCATATAATGACAAGAAAATAGAAACAAATGAGGTATATCACATGACCAGAAATTTCACGTGAAGAAGTCTTTCGCGATTCTAAAAGCTCTTTTAGCCTTTTTGTGGCCATAGAAGCTTCTTCTGTCTTCCGTTGCAAAACCTGACATAACGTGGAGAAAAATGTGAATATCTTTGAATAGATGAAGTACAACCTAGCAATTTATTTCTTACCATTTTTTGCCTCTGATTCAAAGCTAACAGTTTATGCATTTCATACTCATTCCTCCTCCCCTCTTTCTTAAGCTGATAATTGACAAAAATAAAAAGGAAGATTTCATTAACTCTCAAATTTCAAAAATAGATAACGTAGATAAAAGAGAAGGCATTGCAGTCATACGGTAAACTACACTATGCATAGCATCATATAATTGTAACTTGTTAACACAAAAGAACAAATGTTTTATTTGGGGGGTAGCTGTGGGGGCGGAAAAGGTAGATTTCTGCCAACCCAACAGATATAAAAAGAATAAATAACAATTCAAAAGTTAGAATTAACTTTAAAATGATTTTCCAAAATGATGTAAAATTCATTTTCTAGATCATGGTTGCTAATTGCTGTTGACAATCTAACAGTAATAAAATGTGTTTGTATATCATGATTTGTAAACAGTATGCTAGGGAGCACCATCACTGATCCACTTGCACATTCCAAGATCATTTACATGATAAGCAGATGACCAGTGGATGTGGCTATACTCCATCATAAATCAGTAATCAAAGATGCATGCAATTCAAAATTTTCAGATACCTGAAGAACTTCTTTTTCTCGTGATGCTTTCCATAGTCTGAACTGCTCAGACTCTTGTTTAATCTTGTGTTGCAGTTGAACCTAAGAAAAAAAAGATTGCACTTAATAATGAGGACAAAACGTGACTAATATCTTTTTGCATTATTCTTTCATATCGCACCTTCTGAGTCTTTATTCTCTGTATCTCATCCTGAAGTCGCTTTGCAGCCTCATCACTTTTTTGTTTTTGTCTCAAGAGTTGAGCTTGAGCATCTTGCTTCTTTTTGAGCTCAGAAACCTGCAAAGAAAAATTCAGCCCAGTTGTCCAACATATGCAGTTTCCATCAAAAGGTTAGGGCATTTGCATTCACCTGCCCTTCAAGGACATTCAACTTGTGTAGATAATCTTCCTTCAACTTTTGAGCACCATCATCAGAAGTAGATGATATGTTGGAAAGATTGTGTTTCAACGCCTCAATCTCTTTCTGCAGAACCAGAATAGGCAGATTTATAAGCCAGACCTTTGCATCACAGCACAAGTATTGCAGGAAGAAAACAAACCTGCAATGTTTTCTTTTCAAGTTCTAACTCCTGAACTTTCTTCTCATAATGTAGTTTAAGAACCGAGGTATCAGAAGTAGTAAACCGCTTCATCTCAGCCTTGAACAAGTCAAAGTAACCAATTTAGAATAAAATAAAAACAAATGATAGAACCCCACACCAACAGCAAAAACAAACAAGCATACTTAGACAATAGCAGGATGTAAAGAAAAACTCTTGAAAGTTAAACAGACATCTTTAAGAAAAAAACGAGATGCCAACAGTTAAGCATGCCATTCAAAATAAT